AAAAAAAAACACGATGGCTATCAGTAAAAATTCGGTTTCTTTCGTTGATTATATCAATTAATTTTTAAGATTAAGAAAGAAAAAATAGTTTAGCTTAAAAATAGATATGTACGTATTAGTATTATTTGATGAATAAAAAATATTATTATGCTTTATATAAAAAAAAAGTTCTGTTTTTGATAACTTGCATACCATCGAATTATAATTTATGACTCATATGACAAGAAGATTTAAAATCTTCTAAATAACAGAAACCTCCTACTCTTTCTGTCATCATCTTATCTTTTGTAAAAGTTTTTATCAATAATAATGATTCATTTCGTCACAATGACCAACTTTGTATGAATAGTGGTTTGTAGAGACGTAAGTCAAGTGATCATGTGAGTCGATTCCTTTGAAAATTTTCTCAGTTGACGTCATTACTACTACTAAATCAAGATTGTTGAGAATATTAACAGCTGCTATTATATAAAAATTTATTTTGCTTTTCTTCTATCGTTGATTAACTGAATTTCTACCCAAACTTTCTGATTGTCTATATTATTCTTCATTCAAAACTTCTTTAGTTCATGGTACAAAGAATATCCATTTTGAAATTTTCTAGTTGCTGCCAACAGATAAATCAAATTTTAGGCTACCATTGATTAGAGCCATGCATGTTTTTACGCTCAGACCACCGGCAGATAAAGGCGTAAGCCGGTAGGGTAATTAGTTGCGCCGCAAACTTGATATTCCAAGGATACACAGCGGCGACGGGTTGATAATTTCGAATACCACCGGCGGCTGCTCAGACGCACGACTTACACCTCTACTAGTAGATACTTTTACAAACATGATGACTTCTTTAAACATCGAGTATGTAATCATACGCACACTTGGACCGAAATTTTTTTAATATCCGGTACTCGAAGTGGGGCCCATCGGGTCCGGGTCCGGGTACCGAAGCTTTTACTGACCGGACCCAGATCGAAAGAAATATGTTATCAATATAATATTTTTTTTTGAGTTTCTTTAAATTTTTATTCAGAAAGTCTTGAATTTATTTATAGAAATAATAGAAAAAACAACAACAAAATTATTTTCGAAGCAACTATCAGATTTCAAGTAGAAAAATTTACTGAGAATCTAAAAGTACAGCTCGAGTTCAGGCTAGTGCTCATCAAGATTGGGTCTGACTTGGATCCGGACCTGACTTCGGGTACGGGTCTAAAAAAAGTTTATCGAACGGGGCCGGGTTGCAGGACACTACCACCGATCAACCCTTCTAGTAGTTTATATCACATTACACTGATGTAAAATGAAATGTAACTCTATTTTACTTGTCAAGACAAGATTTAATCAAATGTATAATAACAAACTGTCATATGATATGAAAATTTAATCTTCATTTATAATTTGTTTTTTTTAGATTTTCTAAATATATTTATTTCAATAAATGATTTTGTTTTTGCACGCATAATAAAAAAATATTTTTTGTTCATAAGCGACTAGAAAGAAGATGATGATGATGATAGTAAAACAAAATTTATAAACGTTGATCTAATGCTCGTAAATATTTTGTTGCAATTATTTTTGGTAATATTCGATATCGAAAACCAACCATAAAAACCAACCATATGGGCAAAATTAATTTTGTATAAAGTATTGGTAAAAAACCCAAAATACATAAAATTAATAGTTGAATTAATTGTAAGAATGTAAATAAATGAATTTTACGTTGTGGAACTTGTCGAATATAATGATTTGGTGGATAAGCAGCCTAAATAATAAACAAATAAAATAAAGAACTTGATATATACAAAAAAATTTACTTGTTCAGTAAAAAAAAAGTGTAACACGTTCAAAAAATTGATTTCCATCAAGTGATGTTAATGCCAAATAAAGAAATAACCCATCTAATACTGGCATTGGAATTTGTGTTAATACACGATGCATTAATAATGACATACCAATAAATATATGAGATATTAATACTGTTAAACGTGTTTCACGTACTTTAACAATACTAGAATAAAATAGAGAAAACGATTTAATTTAAATCTATCTTAGAAAATAATTTAATTTTCATACACTGATTGAATATGACCTTGTTCTACACGTTCTTCTGTATCAGCGAGTGCTTTAACGTGTAAAGGAGAAAGTGGTAGAGCTCCTAAACCGGAAAAAGATAATAATATCATCAATTAACTATATAAAATTTAACTAACCATGCATCCATGTTAATCCGAATAATGAAAGCCAACCATTAAGAATTGCTATAACGAATAGATCGACATGGAAAGCTTTGCCTTTTTTTAATCTATATAAATGATATAAATAGAAAAAAAGAAATAATTAAATTGAATACAAACTTATTTGCTGGAGAATTAACAATTGCACCTGCAATATTTTGATCCTAGAAACAAAAAAACATTTTGTCTATAGAAAAAAAAAATATGCCATTTAAATAACATACAAGAAACATTAATAATGATAATGAAAATCCTAAAACTCCTGTTCCAATAATTTGTTTCATATTAACGGATTTAAATTGAACCATATCGAATAAATGAAGAGAATC